TGCTTCTTGAAATGTGAACCCTTTACAATTTTCTATATTTCTGCATAAATATGACCCAATTCATCATCAGATTTTCGCACAAGTCCTGAAAGTAGACAAAGAAAACCCAATCAAACAAATGACACAAAAATATTTTCTTTGTCATTTATTTATTGAGAAAAATGACCCAGTGTTACATTTCTGTGCAGTGCAAGTATGTGAATCTTTGCTCTCAGTATCTGGTGTGACCCAATTTTGCAGCAGTAACTGCAGGTAATGTTTCTTGTAACTGCTGATCAGTCCTGCACAACATCTTGTATTAGTTTTAGCACATTCCTCATTACAGAACGACTTCAACTCTGTGATGTTGGTGGGTTTCCTCCTATGAACTGCTTGCTTCAGCTTCTTCCACAACATTTCAATTGAATCAAGGTCCAGACTCTTACTCAGTCATTCCAAAACATTAACTTTGTCCTTCTTTAAAGGGGTCATATGATGCTGCTAAAAAGAACATTATTTTGTGTTTTTGGTGTAATGAAATGTGTTTATGCGGTTTAAGGTTCAAAAAAATATTTTTTCCACATACTGTACATTATTGTTTCTCCTCTATGCCCCGCCTTTCTGAAACGCGTCGATTTTTACAAAGCTCATCGTTCTGAAAAAGCGAGGTGTGCTGTGATTGGCCAGCTATCCAGTGCGTTGTGATTGGCCGAATACCTCAAGCCTGAGACGGAAATGTTATGCCCCTCACCATACTGTGATGATGCCCAGGACGGGGCGATGATTCAAAAACATGAAAACCCATTATAAACTAAGCATTCGCTGCATCCAGTGGGGACATAATTATGGATTATAATGATTTATACTGTCTTTTTACGCGTTGATCGCTTAAAACTTAAAACCATGTCTGCATTTGTGATCGGAGAAATGACAAACAACAGCATTGTAGTCTACTCTACCAGGATCAGGAAACAGTCCTCCATAAAATGTGCTGCACACATCTGAATATTTGGGTTGAGCTGTTCTGGAACAGTGTTGTAAATACAACTTAACCACTGATTTCTAGCCATGTCCATTTTTGGAAGGCCAAACAAAGTAGTTTCGCTTTCACAACGAAACAGCGTCACACACGGCGGCCTGCAGTGAGCAGAGGCCAGGGGCTAGCGTGTGGAACGGCCGGAGGGTTAGCGTGAGCAGAGGCGGGTGGGCTTGAGAACAGCGCGGCCGGCAATTTCGACGAAGGAGCGTCCGGAGGGACATGTGACGACTCCGGGCTGGACTCCGCTTCGTCCACGGTGAAAGCCGATCCTGCGATCTACAGCAAAGTTGAAGTATTCCCTCAGCAACCAGCACGGATTAGCTCCAGGCATGACGAAGCAGATATCATCCTCTTTTGGAAGACCAAACAAGGCAGTTTCGCTTTCACAACGAAGCACAAAGCATCACCTACCGGATGTTGTGTGCTTCTATAGCTGAAACTTGGCAGCCACAAACATGCCATGAAAGCATATACATATACTTTGTTTTTCACTATACAACAGAACGTGCGCCGGGAGAGCCAGCTGACAACATCGATTGTCCTCTATTTGTTTTTCTTCTCTAGTCACGTTTGATCTTGCGAGTGTCCATGAGATCTCGTGTCACTGTGAAATCGTTCCTACAATCATCAAGTGTGTGGTATCGTGGTCTGGTCTAATCATCTAGTGTGCGCATTCAGAGGATTATAAGGCTAAAAATCGGTTGAACTGTCTTCATGTCTGTGGTCTTCCATGGTTTTAAAATCTTTTAAGATTTGAAAATCGCCTAGTGTGCAGCCAACTTAAGCAAGTGATTCATAATTTTTAGATGAACTATTTGTCAGTCCTGTGTCTTGTGTTTTTCTCCCCATATTCTCTCCTTGACCCAGTTTCTCCCTCATATGCCCTTATTTGGTTTTCCTGTTCCTGTTCCCGATTAAGTTCCATTGGTTTCACCTGTGTTCCCCTTGTTATCTCATTTAGACCCGAGTACTTAAGCCCTGTGTTTTCCCATGTCCATCGTCGAATGTTATACGTCATACCCCATGCTACGTGTGTTTTTTCCTGTGTTTGTTTATTAAAATCTGTTCCTGAGGAATTTCCTTTGTCTCCTCCACAATAGCAGATCGTGACACTATTCTTATAAAACAGTCAGTGTGACACATTTGTAAATCTCCTTTTGTTCAAGCAGCATACAATGGTATTTGCATAAATAATTTAGCATATTCAAATATATACCTATTTATGTACACAGTTGTTAAATAAGTGGACAAACACAACACTGTGAGGGAGTCAATAAAATGCATGCTTTCACTTTTGTGACTGAGCCTCTCGTTTTTGTTGTAGCTAACAGATGAAGCCCTCAAGTCAGAAACAGTGACTCTAATGGCGTGCTTACGGCTAATAAAGTCTGTCCATCACACTGCGTTTGTACTAATTATGCTGAATACAGCTAACTATTGATGCATGCTGAACTATCTTGTCGTGATAAATCACATAAATTTTCTGCCCAAATGTATTTTTGTAAACTGCTTTCATACAAATAAATCATATATACTCCTAATATGATATATATCCTAGAAAAAAACAGGCAGATTATACATTAAATTATTTTTAAAAATACCAGTTTTGTTTCATTTCACATCATACCTTATTATGTGTGTGTGTCTGTGCCTAAAGTGTATGCTTAATATGCATACTTGCGTGAGTTTGTATTTTAATATTCTTGTGCAGCAACAGGGTCACTGTTGGCCGAGGGCTGTGTGATATATATTGGCATGTATAGTGTATGTGTGTGTGTGTGTGTGTGTGTTTTGCCATGTTTCTGTGCTTTAGTCTTAGAAAATGTGTGTTTTTAATATATTAACCGGGCAGTAGGGTAAAAGCTGTCTATGAGAGTTTGGCTGTGATATATTATGTGGGGTTAATGATGGAGATTAGACCGGCCTAGTGCACAGCCTTTAACAACACTGAGCTGCTCTCCAATTCTTCTTATCGCTGCACCATCAGATGTGTGATAAAGAAAAGTAAAGAAATTGAAAATGCTGTTCTTTTCATCTTAAACTTGCTAGTAGTTGCAGTCCTTTCAAAATAAGCTTTTAGCCTTTATGTTTGGCCTAAAATGATCTGCATACTAATGCATTTCTGCCTAAAGCTTTGGTGTTTATGCTGATGCCACTGTTATAACACTAGATAGTGTCAATATATATATATATATATATATATACAGTCAAACTAAAAGTTAAATAAAAAATTATGACATTTCGAGACGCACACCTTTAAAGAAAATGCGGTTGTCAATCTCAAAAACTGACTGTGTGAACGTAGCCAGAGTATATTAAAATAATGCAAAAATTGACTGAACCTCATTTTGTTACAAACCAATGTTACTTTTTTCTGTGGAATACATAAAAATAATCTTTAAATATATATATTTTTAAATTGTTCCTACTTTTCTGTAAAACTCCAAAAAGGGGGGGCGGGGCACCATTAATGTAGTCCATATGACCATTATATTCGTCCGATATGTGCATTATATTCCATTTTCTGAAGTCATATTTGATTTGAAAACTGCAGTGCTAAAGATAATCAGTGAATAACAATTTAAATGTTTCAACATGTTCCTCACCTAAAGCTGTCATCTGACTTCAGAAGACTTGTAATATAGTACACAAGTCATATAGACCACTTTTATGGTGCTTTTATAGTTTGACCTTTTATCTGATCTCTGTGTGTTAGTCCCACTCTCTCTGCTTCTCCTCATTTGCCCTTTGTACGAGTTCAGAAAAAAAGCCTGGAGCCCAGTTACTTCCAGCCCACCTCTCGTTCTCACTTGCAAGTACAGATGAAGGAGCGCAAGATAAATATACAACTATATTTGGGAGGGATGTATACTGTATATCCTCTATACTCGCAGATTGCAAAGCTATCCGTCATTTGACATTTAGATGTGCTGGCACAGCAAGTCCACTATCATGATGTATACCGGTATATAAAAGATGCATTGCTCAGTTCCACTGAGTAATGAAATCATGATGGACATATAAAGATTTCTGCAGTAGAAGGACTTTGGACCGAGGGATAAAATTGTGTACTATGCAAAACTTCAAGGGAGGCAGTTTGGCTAAATTATGTGACATATTTCGCTTGGTGGGAATGATGACAGTGAGACATCATTTTTGATATGCGTGTGACAAATCCTCATGTTTTTCTTCTTTGTATTACTGGAAGGGGCAATTATGACTCAGAATGGCACTGCAATGTTTTATTTAGTATCCTTGAGTTTTCTCACATAACAGCTGTAGCTATAATGGCTGAAAATAGAAATGGAAAAGGTCTTTGACCGTGTTTACGTCAATTGATCAAAAGCATTATTGAATACCCTTACCTTCACAACACCTTCGACTCCATCTGTTCAAACCCTGCTGACTAGATCACTTCTGACATGACCGTGGCTGTGTGTGTGCATATATTTGTTTGCAGGTTAGCGGAGTTCAAGCATGTGTGAGCACTGACACATCTGATGTGACCCGTACTAGCAACACAGTCGCACATGCACACGCATATATGTGTGTGTGTGTGTGTGTGTGTGTGTGTGACATTGGAAGGATGACATAAACATGTGTT